TGAGCCAGCTTGGAAGCCACCTGCTGAGTGGGTGCCAGAGTACACACATTTAAGGGCTCGGAACTGGAAAATAAAGGGACGTGCTCACTATGATCATGCTGTAGGGGACCCAAAAGACACAGTCCAAACTCAGGGCATCACTGTGCCTCTCTAGACTACAGATACCACAGAGGCATTTGCCCTGGAGTATGAGTTGGGCTGTTAATTTCACGTTGGCAGTTCAAAACTACCATCAGATGAGGCTTTCTGCTCTCGTAAAGATTTACAGGGTCGCTATGAGTGGGTAGCGACCCCATAGCACACAGCCAACCACAGTCCCTGGAAGAGGGAGTCTGGAAGGGAATTACTGCTGTGTACCACTGAGTGAATTTGATTCCTTCGCATAGAGACCCTATGTAACAGGGTAAAACTTCCTCATGTCTTTTAAGTTGTAATCATTATAGGGACTCCTGGTGTGGTGCTGTAGGATCAGAAATGGACTGAGAACCACAAGATCTGTGGTTCAAACCCACCAGCTGCTTGTCAGAAACCCTGTACAGGTGGCTTTGCTATGAGTTAGAACTGACTCAATGGCAAACACAACAATCATTATAAGAGCAGATTGTCAGGCCTGTTCTCCCACAGATCCATTAGGTGGATTTGAATCACCAATCTTTCAGTAGAGAATTCTTAAGAGTCAGGGAATGTGAGGCCAGTGGTGCTGGCAGAAGAGGTCACCTCTGAGCACTGTTCAGAAGACCTGGCTTCTGATGCGTCTCTACCACTAACTAGCTGCACAGCCCCATATTTGAGCTGGAAAGTCTTAGAAATGGAGGTGGTGTTCAAGTTTAATCTTCCACACTGAGCAGAAATTCTTCCTACAGCACTGGCCCATGATCATCTTGTATCGCTCCAAACACTTCAAGGGGCGGGAACTTCACAGCCCCATAGGACAGCCTGTTCCCATTTTTCTAGAAAGTTTCTTTTTCAGAAGCATGGAAAGACTCACACCAGTTAGTGGGGCCTCAAGGGAGGAGAGTGGGAGTAAGGGGAGCCTGACAGGACTTTCCTTGTGGGTTTGGTATGGGATGCTTCCTAATCTAACACCTTGCATTACATTTGTAATATCAAGGAGAACAACAGAAAGTAAGGTTTTTCTTTATTCAAGCACAGCTTGCCTTTCCAAAATGTCCACCTGTTGGTCCTAAATCTGCTCTCTGGAATTAGGTGTCTTTCAGATATTTGAAGGTGGTGATCACGTTTCTACCGTGTCTTCTTGAGGCTCCTCCTATAGCTTGGGTTCCAGACAAGTCCCCATCCTAGTCATCCCTTGGATGTGACCCCCTCTGTACATTAGAGGATAAAACTCCAATGGAGTCATGGAGGAAGGGACCCTCACTCACTCCTGGAGCTGGTGTTGATGTTGTTAGTTGCCTTGGAACAGATGTGGACTCATGGTGACTTCATGAATAGAGAGCAACTGTTTCATAGGGGTTTCAAAGCTGAGACCTTTCAGAATAAGATAGCCAGGCCTGTCTTCTGAGTGCCTCTGGGTAAGTTCAAACCGCCAACCTTTAACAAGTAGTCATCCACTCAACTGTTTTTGCCACTCACCTCCTGTTGTTTAATGAATGAGTGAGAAGATGTCCCTCCCCCTTTTATGTGTGTGTGTGTGTGTTGGTGGAAAGGACATGATTAAGTCATGTACTTCTCCAAGCCTGGGTTTCCTTATATATAAAAAAGGAAAACAATACCCTTGTTATTGGAATCAATTAAGGAAACAGAAAAACATGGGAAAGCACAAACTTCTACAGATGCTTTCAAATTCAGTTTAGATAGCTGCTAAGCATTGGGCAAGTGGCACAACTGTGAAATTTGCCAGCCTGCACACTGAAAGGTTAGTTCACGACAGGAGAAAGAGCGGGCACTCTGCTTATGTGACAATTTATGGCCTAGAAACCATGATGGGGCAGTTCTACGCTGTCGCAGTGGGTCGCTATGGGTCAAAATCAACATGACAAGCATTTAACAAGCAACAGACTTGGAGAAGAATCAGCTGCTTGGGTTCCCATCCCAGCTTTGCCACTTAAAACAGAGATAATGATAGCACTGCTGCTTTTTCATGAGCATTCAATGTATTGTCTAGCACTCAATTGGAATCCTGGTGTGGCTCTGTGGGATAAAGCACTAGACTGCAAGGTTCATTTAAAACACAAGATTGGCGGTTCAAACTCACCAGCCACTCCTTGGAAACCCTATACAGGGTCGCAATGAGTCAGAACCATCTTGATGGCACTTAAAAACAACAGGACTCAATGAACTATTCCAAAAACTAACCCACTGCCTTACAGTGGATTCTGACTCATAATGACCCTATAGAAGAGAGCAGAGTTGGCCACAGCGCTTCTCAGGCTGTAAATCTTTACTGAAGCAGACTGCCAAGTTTTTGTCCTATGGAGTGGCTGGTGGGTTCAAATCACCAAACTTTCCATCAGCAGCCGATGGAAACCAATGCACCACTGGCTCCTTGAGTTAGCTGTTAGTTGTTTAGAATCATCTCAACTTACTCGCTCACAAGTAAAGGTGTCTCTGTAATGGGGCTAATTCATAGCACCTATTGTGGCGCTGTGGGCTAATGTGTCAGACTGCAAAGTCGTTTGAACTGCAAAGTCAGTGGTTCAAGCTCAACAGCTGCTCCTTGGAAACCCTATACATGGTTCCTATGTGTCGGAATCGACTCAACAGCACTTAACAACAACAACAAATCTTGAAAGTGGGGACATCAAACCAAACTGATCATCTATTAGCATGCACTTTTACCAGTATTTGTGAGCTAGGCACTGTGCAGAGATTTATGGGCACTGCCTCATTAAATCCTTCCAGCAGCTCAGTGTGATATGTATTATCATTAATTCCTATGAGGGGGCTTCAAAAAGTTTGTGGAAACATTTCATTTTAATTCCACTTTTCCACAAACTTTTTGAAGCCCTCTCGTATCTTACAGATAAGGAAATAAGGGCTCAGAGAGGTTAAGCAATTTGCTCACGGTCACACAGCTAGGAAGAGATGGAGCAAGGACTCTGGCCCAGATCTGACTCCACAAGTCAGTCTCCTTCACCACAGGGTCCTGTTCTTCTAATTGTTGTTGTTGTTGTCTGTGCCATGGAGTCGGTTCCGACTCATAGCAACCCTACACAGGGTTTCCGAGGCTGTAAATCTTTACAGGAGCAGACCGCCTCATCATTCTCCCGCGGAGCGGCTGGTAGTTTCGAACTGCTGACCTTGTGGCTCGCAGCCCGATTCGTAACCACTACGCTACCAGAGCTCCTTATTTCTAATAAGCTCCCTTATTTAGGCTCAGTGCCAACTTCCAGGCCTAGAGGAGGCCAGAGCATTTTCTTCTGTGACAATCCTGCCTGCTGTTTCCTGGAGGTGGGGGAGGAGTGGGCAGCAAGTCTCCCACTTCTCTCCCTAAACTCTTCACACCTCTGCACTCTGCCCCTTCTTCACTTCAGGGGTCTGAAGGTGCCCCTGGGGACCCCAGCTACATCCCCTTAAGTCCCCTCAGGCCCACTCTGGTATCTAGTACTGTCGAGCTGTGTACTGGATTCTCAGCTTGACCGTGCAATGGTTTCACACTGATCGAACAACAAAAGCACAGCCATTTTGGACGTGGGCCCTGGCGCGTAGTCTCATTATGGAATCAACAAGGCACCCATCCCATTATCACCCAGCCAAGCTTCTCTGAGGTGAGCCTGGTTGCAAATGGCTATCTTCTGGGGGTGGGGAGTGCAGCCCCTCCTTGCCCTCCATTGCCAGAGGAGAGATTTTATCTTTAATTGACTATTGGCTGCTTGCCACTGTCTTGTCTAGCTTCACTGGCCCAGGCTCCAAGCTCGATTTTTGTTTTCACTTCAGGAATAAGCTTCCTTATTTCTCCTTCCCTCCCCTCCTCACCCTGCTGCTTTGAGCTGCTGCAGACAGCTCCCCAAGTGTGCTTGTGTCCTTTCTTGGTGTGGCTAGACACATAGAATCCCAAAGATCTGGGGAGAAAAGTCTCAGATCTACAGGAAAAGGATGGGAGGGAACTAACATTAACTATGTGTCTACTGTTATGTCATGTGTGCTGGCCCTGGGCCAGACGCTTGACAATAGCTCTGAAATAGGTGCTATTATTATCCCCATTCTACAGACAATGAAACTGAGGTGATGTGAGTTACCCCAGGTTACCCAGCTAGTAAGTGACAGATCAAGACAGAACTGAGGCCCAGCTGACAAGTCTTAAGTCGATGCCTGGGGAGAGGAAAAAGTAAGGAGATAAACATGTACCTAGGACCTGCTGTGTTTTTCAGAGCACAGTGCAAAATGAAAATTCGAGACTTCTTATTCAAAATGAAGGATTTCAAGATCATGACAGCTGCACACTAAACCAAGTGTGGAGCCTCTCTGAGTGACACACAGGTGGCAGGCCCATGCAGCTGGCCTGAGTATCACCCTGTGAAGGTACAGGATGACCACAGGCAGATGTGGTCCACATCTGACCTTGACCTCTCACTAGCCCTATCCTTTCTGGGCCCATCCCTCTAAGTAAGCCTCGGTCCTCACTTGTCCAATTACTGCCCGGACTTCTGCATCCCCAGGGGCTTGGCCCATATGGAACTGGGAGGGGAGGGAAGCACTGCACAAATGTGGTGGAATTCCTTAAACAAAGAACAGTCCTTCCTCCCATGTGCAGCGGGGGATGAGACGGCAGCAGTAGAGTACAGGCACATGGCCTGAGTCAGCGGTTCTGGATCAGAGTTGCTTTGCTTTGTAAGGCAGCAGACGAATCCCTTTTCCTCTCTGTGCATTCATCTCTTGAGTTCTCAAAAGCAGACATTAGGCTGTATGGGTGTTTCTGGATGGGTGGATGGGTAGGCTCGTCAGGACTATGCTTCAGTGTTAAGAGTATGTTCCTCAGGTGTTGGGGTGGAATCCCAGGTAGGTCCCCGCAAACACAGAGGCAGAAAGAAGAGGCAGAGGCAGACACGCACACAGCAGGAGCAGCTAGAAGGCTCCAGATGTCTTTATTGGGCTCCAGCACAGCAAGACAGCCAGAGGCATGCGGACAGGGCAGGGAGCCCAGCCTAGGCATGCCTCAGACACACACAAGGGGACAACTTAGAAAGGACTGACCAACACCAGGGACAGGACAAGGACGGTGGGGTGGCGTGGGGTAGGAAGAAGGGCCAAGGGAGGGGCAGAGGCCAAGGCTGAGGGGATCGTCTGGCCTCTGCTATTGCACACGTCCTCTGGCCACTGGCCGGGAAGTACAGTACTGCAACTGGCTCTCGCCCAAGGCGTACCCTTCTCAGACCCCTGTGCCAGATGGGCAGACAGACCCCATTTCTGCCCATCTGCCCAGCAGCATCTTTGAAAACAAACGGATGAAGGAGACGGAAAATAAGACAAACTGCCCCCTCAGTCAAGGTCAGAGTTAGGGGTGGAGGTTGCAGGGGAGCCCCTGAAAGTCCCCCACAACTAGGGCGTGGGGTGGGAGGTAGAACCCCAATCTGGGGTGGGGGGCTAGTGGAGCAGTGACCCTAGGGGGCCATTATTGGCCACTTGCTGACAGGGGAAACACCCTCAAGAGGGAAAGTCTAGCCTGGGACCACCCAGATGAACCGGCAGTTTCCAGGCACACTTTTCCTGGGACATTTCAGACACATTTGCAGCAGAATCAACAAGAAATCTGTGAAGGAGGAAGGTATGGGGGTTGAGGGTTGGGGATGGGTTTAGGGAGACACAGCCTAACAAAGAAGACAGACCACCAATAGCACGTGCACTACACACAAGAGTATAGTATGTATGAATATAGATACTATATGTGCATATATATCTCTTCAATGTACAGTAGAACAGAACATCAGACCCAGATGGCTCTGGGCCCTGAGGGTTGCATGGGAGGATTCCCATCAGTCCTGTGCAAACAAGGATATCTGAGTCTTTCCCAGCGAAAGATTCTTGCCTGGTTTCCAGAGTTTCCCTAAGCCTTTGGCTTTCTGTCTGTCTGCCTGTCTCTCTTGCGCTGGTGCCGCTTTAAGAGAGGGTGAGAACTTCAGCCTGGGCATAGTTGGACGAGAGGGCGTCTTGGCAGGTCTCTGTGTTAAAGAGCACAGGTATGAGACACTGGGACGCACGCTTTCGGCTCAACATTGCCTTCTGGGGGACAAGGAGTTCAGCAAAAGAAAGGGAGAAACAAAGAGTGAGATGTTAGAAGGAAGCCAGCTGCTGACCCACAGGCTGTGGGCTAAGAAGCAGGCCAGGAGCAGAGCTGGAAGACATGGGGAACCCAATATTAAGAGGTCAGAAAGAGCGGGGAGGGGTCAGGGAATGGGGTGTGCCCTTTCAGCATTCCTCTGCTGACCCAACTCTGGAGCAAGCTGATTCATAGGTGATATTATGGCTGGCCTCCAAACCTGTTCAAGTAATAGACTCCAGGAAACACTAGCCCTAGGTCTTCAAGGCTCCAAGACAGTGAGGAGAAGGGTCACACACAGTTCTGTATGCTGACTGGCAGCAGTGGAGAAAGTTCCTCCACACCCTGAGCTCTCCCCAAATAATTCTATCTTCCATCACCACCCTGGACTATTCCATTGCCCAGGGAGCTAGTGAAGAGGCCTTTGGGTCCAAGGAGGCTCCTAAATATTACTACCAGGCATGTTTGGCCCCTCTTCCTTCATCTGAAGGAACAGAGAGCACACAGCCTCCGGTGAATGCTGAAGGGGAAAGTTAGAGTGGATGAATGTGGCCATCTCTAGAGCAAAGGCTATAAAACAGCATGTTATGGAGAAATCCAACTTTCCAGGGAGCCCTTACTGGTATCCCATCCTCAGCCTGGGAAGTCAGGGGCCTGAGTTTTCCCCTCCCCTACTTTCCCAGTGGGAGACCGGTAGAGGCAGATAGGGGGATTGTTGTTTCAGCTGCAGAGCTGTGTCAACAGTGCAGATGAGAGGTCCAGCCCTCTCTAGACCATCGTTGGGACAAGCCCTGTAGCTGTTATGTTTTGTGGTCACAGGCCAGGTATCCTGTAAAGGTAGAGTCAGTTTTAGCATCCAGACCTCACAACTTCCAGCCGGGGCTGCCCAGCTTTGCTAGAAAGCCTCCATCCTTTTCTGGAGGAAGGCTGTTCCCATCTTGGGAGTGACTGCTTCCAACTCAGGAGGCGCTGTGCCCCATTCTTAGAAGAAGGTGAAGTGCCTCTGTAAGCAACTGGGTTCTAAGACACACTGGTGAGAAGGCCTGAGTTACCAAGGGGTCTTGGATGGGCATGGCAGAAGGTTGAAGGACAGTCAAAGCAAAGTTGTGACGTGCCTGGGGAAGCTTGTGTTGTCCTGATAAGAGATTACCAATGAAGAACGCCTACCAGGGCTGCTTCCCTGCTCTACAGGAAGGGACTGAGCATCCTGCTGAGAAACCCAAACCTTCAGTAAGCTCTGACTGGCATCCTCTCCTCAGTCAGGGATGTTGGTGACCTGGGTCTTCCCTTCCCCTACTTTCCCAGTGGGAGCACAAGTAAGGGTGGTTGCTGTCTCAGCTGCAGGGACAACCAACAGTGAAGTTGTGTGTGTGGGTGGGTGAGGTCCAGCACCCTCCAGTCCAGCTTTAGGACTATAGCTACCAGGTTTTGTGGTCCAGGGCCAGGCCTTCTATAAAGATGGGGGATGGGAAGGAAGGAAGGCTTCTAACTATAGTAATGGGTGTAAGTCCAAGATTCTCACATTATGAGTGGGAGGGTGAGCTTTGTCCCAAAGAGGGTGAGGTCTGGCCTGGGTGAGCCTGAGGCTAGGTAGGCAGCCTCCTCTTCAGTGGAAGCCAGGTGGGTATGCAGTTGGAGGCTATCCTTTCCCAGGTCCCTGGGGAGGCCCAGAGGTCCTGAGAGGTGGCTGGGGGCAGGCAAGCCTGCTCTAGTCTCCCTTAGTTGGGTCCTGTCTTTCCCTTTACAGAGCTGGAGAGCCTGGAGGCCAGCATGGGGGTCCATCTCCCTAAGACACTAGGACTCCTGCCTGGTACCACTGCACATCGCCCAGGGACATCTGTGCCCACCATAGGGGCGCTGTGAACATGCCCATCCCTGTAGGAGGGACGGGAGGGAAGGAGGCGGTGGGTGCCGTGGAAACTTGGGCTCCTGACAACTTGAAAGCTGCCACAGAAATAGGAGCCTCAGTTCCCTGAGCCAGAAAGGCAAGTCAGAAGAGAAAATAGCTGTGGTACCTGCGCTAAACTGGACACTTAGCTCATCATGTCCCCATCCAGTCTGGTGCCAAGGAGCCCTGTGGGGGCAGGACTGGACCTGTCCTCTGCAAAGAGAAGGAACTGGGCTCTCACACTCAGCTGTGAGGGGAGAAAGCGCCATCCTACTCCACAGGGCCTTCTTGTCCCTTAAAGGGACCTGTCCCTTTCTTCTCTCTTCTCAACAATCAGGGGGCCCTTTACCCTGATAGGAAGTGGGATGCAGATCCTACAGGCTGTAGCAGAGCCGGGGCATCCCAGGACCACTTCAGCAGCCCGATGCAGAAGGAACCTTCTTGTGTGTGCCTTCCACCGAGGGAGGTGCTACAATGAGAAAGGCTCTGTACCACCCCCATCATGAAACAATCTGATCTTTCCTCTCCCTTCACCTCTTTGGGTGCTGCTCCCACCCCTGATTTTCCAGCTTCCTGCTGAGTCCCCAAGTGTGGTCTTGCCATATCTATCTTTGCCCGCCTGCTAGAAGGAGCAGATATGGCCCTTAGTCATTCCATCTACAAAGTTGCATAATCTAACTCTAAAAATTGTCAAGTGCACGGCTCTACTGTCAGGTCTAATTCCCATCAAGTTAAACAGGAAACGTCTTGGTTGAGGAGTTCCTTGGGCTGAGGAGGCCTGTGAGAGGCTTGCTGGGTGCCAGGGCTGGGGGCGGGGGCACGTGTGGTTGGGAGACTCTAGGAGCTGTGCAGGAGCAGGTGGGGGCAGGGTGGCTGTCTCAGCACTTCCCCTCAGCTGCCCCTGCCCAAGGTGTAGTCCTGCTCATTCTGTGACTCACAAACCTGTTGTGCTCCCGGGCTCGTTAGGTAAATGAATACGCTTAATTATAGAAATTAGATGAGTCTCCGGTTCTGGCAGGAATACAGAGCACAGAGGCTGGGTGGGAGCAGCAGGTGACTCAGAGGCAGGGCTAGAAGTTTCGGGGCGGGGGG